TTTATATTAAATTAATCTATATGCCTACCTCACCCCACTACCTACCCTACCAACTTTATTTTAAATATAATATCATATCCAAATCCAGACCCTAATCAATTTCATATATTCTCCCTGTCTCGCACGTCGCCACCACGGCCCGTCGCTGTCGCCGCCGCCCCTTCTCCCTCCCCCTCCATCCCGTCTCCTCCCTTTGTTCCCCCTAGATCTGCTGCGCGACACAGCAGCGTGGCGACACGCTACTGTGCGACACAGTACCGGTGTCGCCGCTGCTTCGCACAGCAGCGACAACAACGTCGACGTTGCTGACAGTTTTCGGGTGGGTGGCATATCTGTGTGTAGGTGGCGGATCTATGTGTCTGGGTGAGCGGTGGTATGTTTTGGGCGGTGGTGGTGGATCTGTGGGCGGTGGTTGATTTTATTTTATTTTTTTGTCTGTGACCTAGTTATTGAACCGTGGTGGCAGATCTATGTGCATGAGTGAGCGGTAGTGGTGGATCTGTGGGCGGTGGTTGTTTTGTTTTTTGTGTGTCTGTGACCTAGTTATTGAACCGTGGTGATTTTTGTTTGGTCTGTGACCTAGCTTTTTTGGTGTCTGTAACCTAGATATTGAACTGTGGTAGTTTTTTTTGAGTCTATGATCTAGCTATTGAATTGTGGCGATTTTTTAGTGTCTGTAACCAAGCTATTGAACTATGGTGGTTTTTTTTGTCTGTGACTTAGCTATTAAACTGTGATGGTTTTTTTGGGTGTTTGTGACCAAGTTATTGAACTGTGGTGGGTTTTTTGGTGTCTGTAACCTAGCTATTGAACTGTAATGATTTTTTTAGTGTCTGTGACCTAACTATTGAACTGTTGTGAGTTTTTTTTGTTTCTGTGACCTAGCTATTGAACTGTGACTTCAAAATTGATAATTTGTAACTGAAAAGGAATCGATGACCTACATATTTGAAAATACATGATCGACCAATAAAATAATCTGTGACCAACAAATTTTATTAACTGTGACTAATTAAAAATATGTGACATATAAATTTTTTCATTTGTGACTTCAAAATAATCTGTGACCGAATAATTTGATAAGTTGTGATCAAAATTAAATTTTTAACTATTTAATAAGGTATATGTGACCTTGGAATCGGAGCAACGGTCACCGAAAAATAGTCATAGGAATTAAGTGTGGCCGGAGAACAGTCGCCGATCGCCGGAGTAGTCGCCGGTGGGGTGGGGTGGGTTAATCATATTATATTATAGTTAAATATTTAATTTAATAGATTAATTGTAAAATGTAATTAATTAATGAAAAAAAACCTGAGTTTTGTAATTTTAAATTTTGGGGCCTGATTTTTGATTTAAAAAAATAGGTGGATTAATTTTTATTTCACAAAGCAGGTGGTAATTAAGTTTTAATAATTATAATTAATAAAAATTTAATTACAATATATAATTTCTCTCAACCTACCACTCTCTCTCTCCAGAACCATCCCAACCCGTCACCTCTCTCTCTCTACATTTCTACTGCCCGTCGCCTCTTGAGAATCACCGGCGAATCACCCGTCGACGTTCCATTGCACAGCTCTGCCACTTCATTCGCCGTCGTCTCCCAGCCTCATCACCCCCAGCCGTCGGCGTTGGTATTGTTCGGAGATGGCAACGCTGTGAATGGTGGTGGTGGTTGGTGCTACAGGTGGTGGTAGACCTGCAGCAAAGTCGATCCAGTCATCAATACGCTCCACTACCCACTGGAAACCTCGAGAGTCGTCTACAGCTACGAAGTGAATGTTGTCGCCGGTGCGATCTGGGCGTCGATGCTCTTTTTAACGTCGTTGCAGCAGCTGCACGTCATCATCGTTGTGGGTGGTTTGCTGGTGGTTGGTGGTGTCGTTTGCGATGGTTTTTGGGCTTTGGTGGTGTTGTTTGCAATGGTTTTTGGGCGATGGTGGTGGTGGAAAATGAGGTATACTGTGGGTAGTTTGCTGGTGGTTGGTTTTCTGATCAGATCTAATGTTTAGCCGGAGTTTTGGGGGGGTGGTGGTGTAGGTGCAGATGGTGATGGCGATGGTGGTGTTTTGTGAGATGGTTGTAGTGTGGTGAACCTTTTTTGATCTATGACCAGATCCCGATTTGACTACCGGGTAGTTCGTTGTGACCTTTTTGTAACCGATTGTGACCGTTTGTGACTGGTTAATTGTGACTCGTTGTGACCAGTTGTGACCGATTGTGACTTGAAATTCTGAAAAAAATTTGGAAGTTGGGAATGGGTGGATGGGGTGGCTAGGTTAATCGGAGCATGAGTTTGAGTGGTCATTTGAGCATTTTGACAGAGGGATCGTGAATAGTCGTTGGAGCAGTCGTTTGAACTGTTACAGGAGCGGCTGCAGGAGAGATTGCCAGAACTGTCGTCAGAGCAGCCGCCGGAGTAGATGACCGCCTCCAGTGGAGAGAATGCATAGCGAGAGGATAGAGAGTAGAGAGTGAGAGTGATTTGGATTTGAAATTTAATAAATTTTGATAATTGTTGTATATTATAATTAAAAATATTTAATTAATTGATTTAACACCTGATTTTTTTAAAAGATTTTTGAAATTTGTTATTTTTGAATTGTATTTCTTATATATAGGTTTTGTGTATTGTTGTCTATTTTAATTTTAGTATTAATTGAAATTTGTTATTTTTGAAATGTAATTCTTATATATAGGATTTATGTATTGTTCCCTTTTTAAAAAATGCAATAACATCAAAATTATCCTACTTTTTTTTGTCTAAAAAGTTTAAAAATGCCTCCTAATTTTATTTTTTAAATAAAAATAATAATTTTGTCCTTCATTAAAAATCGATCTTTTATATTTACATCATTTTATATTTTTTTTTAAATATAACTCCTATTCATTTAAAATTAATATTTCAAACAACATTTTTTTACGAATTAATCTAAGAGTAACACATGTATTGACTTACTTGTAGAGTATGGTTTAAAATATTTCGAGTTTTATTCAAAATTAATTATTTTAGGATAAACATACGTATCACGATATTCTATATTAATGTCTAACACCCGCATAACTGTTTGTCGCCACCATCACGACAAATTAGAGTAACACACCACCTGCCAACAACACTGCAACAAAACACGAGTAACATTGTGTTACTTGTCTAAAACCAACGCTACACAAGATATCAGCTTGTTGATTCTAATCAAATATTAAGAATCGGAAGTTAATCAAACTTTGATTCAAACAATACTATTGAAATCACTATCACATTAATTCTAAGCGAAAATAATCGAAGTAGGGCAACAAGAGGGGTGATTCGAGAATCAAGACCATAGAGGTAATTTTATTGCTAGTTTTCTTGAATTTAGTTGTACGTGCACTGATATTGAAGTTTAATTCCATGTACTTTCCGGCCAATTTGAGATTATGCTGACGTGGTTCAAATATTTTAACTTGCACTAATCTTTAACAATATTGTATAGTTGGTCAAGCGACGAAACAACACGTTTGGAAATGTGAATTGAACAGCATTGAACAATCTAATGAGTGAAAGATTGAAAGAGCGAAAATCCAAAAGTCAAAAAAATATAGGGCAAAGATTCAAGTACGATAAACATTATCCACAACATCCAAATATATTAACTTGGAAGCTGGAAATGTACGTTTTTTGTTTTATTTTATAACAATAACATAAACAGTAGGGCAGGTATCTAAGAACTGCAGCAGCATAACCAAATCAGGGGTAGAAGGAAGAGCAATTGAGCTCTATAGCTTCGATCGAACCTTTGCAATAAGTTCTCTTCTGAGTATTTTCCCAGATGCCGACTTTGGGACGCTGTTAGTGAATGTCACCCTTCGCAATCTTTTAAAAGGTGCAACCTGAATTCAATTGTTGGTATAACAAACAACAATAAATCAAATTCCATTCTTCACCCAAAAACAAAGAAACATTTCATGAATCTTTCAGTCTACTGAAAACGGTCTCCATAGGATTAAAGAAATATAGAGCTAAGGTACTTTAAGCATGGTTTGACGACTCATCTATGGCAAAGCCACTCTAATACCATTTCAGGAGTCTAACATGGCTCTTCAAGTATTTTATTTTTGCTTTCAATATGGGTCATCTAAGGTAAGCCATAGCTGTCTAGTTCGAAATCAACTATCAGAATACAACAAGAGACTCAAAGGGGCAAGGGCTGCCCAAATATGAGTAATGGTTTCAAGCTTCTAGTGACCAAAAATAAAATGTGTAGAATGTAAAGGTCCCAAGCGTGAATCCAGAAAGTAGACAGTTATATATTTAACAAAATTCAAATTAAAATTTGACCCATTTTCATTTCTTAGAGAAACTATGTACCCAATGGTACAAAATAGCTTCTGAAGTAGAAGGAAATAGTAAGTAATAGGCTCAAAAAGTGAAGATCAGTGTGTGCTTTCAAGTTGTCTATGAACACGAGTTTAATGAAAATTTAGCTTGGATTAATAAATAAACTCATAATATTAAATCATGAGCAAGTTCATAAAACAACCAGAGGAGGAAAAAATGAATCATGCAAGATTTATAAAAGTTCAGGTCAGTGGACCTATATCTAATACAAGGTCTCTCTCTCTCGATGCTTAGCAGCAGCAATAGCTCAACTTCACTGAACTATGGCACTAGCAACCCCTTTGAACTATTGGCAGTGTAAACCAAATTAGAACAGCAACAACTAGCTCGGATTTTTGATGAAAAGTTTGCTCAAGAGAATCACTCAATTGTAACAGAGTCCACATTCTACTTTTGCAATTTCAGCTCATTCAAATGATGGATGAGCTGATTTTGCAACAAGCCTCACTGAAAATTTACTTTTTAAACCATGCCAAAAATCACTGAACTAAAGGGCTTTAGTGAAAAATTGAACTTAAGAGAGTGAGTTAAAGATCTTAGAGAATTTCTTATTGATAATTGCAAGAAATTTCAAAAATTATGTTTCTGATCTGATGGAGAGTACGAACAGACACTTATCGTTTAGTTGATTAAAGAACAAATTCTGTTTATTTCTAACTCGAGAAAAACTATTGTAAAACCAGACTCATCCTTAAATACACCAATTTTTGAATGTTGGGATCAATAATCAATTAGAAGAAATTCAACTTGAACATTATACATGAATTGAAAATGATATTAGATCAGTTGAAAAAAGAACGTGTGAATATAGCTTAAATTGGTATAAAAACTCAGTTTCAAATGGCACTCTATTTGAAAGTGGAAATAGAAAGTCTTAAGATATGTTTAGGAAATACAAAATTTGGTTTTCGAGTGAAGGTGTGAAGGTCTCTCATAAATCAAAAAGTGTTCTCATCTTTTTAGGATAATAATAAAGCATAATTATGGGTTCAATTTTTACACGTCTAAAACTTGTTCTTGATATCTACTACACCCTTACTTTAAAACTTCTTCCTAGGAATCTAAATGAAATCCTTCAAACAAATCTTGACCAGCTTCAACTACATTCCATACAGAGCTCTGCAAGCCTAAATCAATTCTTAGACATCTGATATCGTTGTTTAGGACTAGTAGATTTAGTTCTGGACTTCTAAAAATGTGGGTAGCATGAAGATATAGTAAATTTGTTTAAACCTGTAAAACTATGCCAGATATTAAATCTTTAGTCCATATGACAGTTAGCTGTCAGGGATCATCAAAACTTGGGTGTAAAAGGAACCTACATGAAGTATGTATCTGCTAATTTCATTTCAAGAAATCGTGATTAGGAAAACATATGGTCTTTTACTATGATAATGTTGGACTCATCTATTTCACATCTCAATAGGACCTTTATTTCATAATAATACCTGATCTGCGATAAACTTCTGTACATCTTCTTCAGTCAGTGAGCTATTTGGAGAGCGGACAACATATGCAATCGGGACTTCACCAGCTTCAGCGTCAGGAAACCTACAAGGAAAACATTGACTCTCTGTATAAATTATCAATTAGAAAACTGTCACAATTTGGAAAGCCTTCAACAATGGAATTAGTAATATTTTGGATAAATGACTTACGGAATGACTGCAGCATCTAAGATTTCAGGATGAGAAACAAGGAGCCCTTCAAGTTCTGCTGGTGCAATCTATCAAGAAGAAACAAGAATGAAAACAATTATTTTCCCAATAACCCAGAAAGAAAAGAAAGATATTACACACGACAACAAAAGAATGAGAATAAGGTTTCAACAATGTAGCAAAAATGCAGAATAATATCAGAAGGATGTTTACTAGAAACACATGCAACTGGCCCGCCCTCGCCCACCAAAAAAAAAAAAGGAAGACAAATACCGCTAACCTAAATTACTGGCACGGATGGCATGAAACAAACACCAGCCCAGGCAAATTCAATTATAAGCTATGTTCGTAATTGATGAAACAGATAGAAACAAAGTCAACATAAATTACCGGCATAGATGACACTAGTTAAAAGCTCAGATGATACTCAAAATAGAGAATGCAACATTTTCTACTGCTGAAAATCCTTACCAAGACTCGTGTTCATGCTCAAAATGACACTGTTTCTTAAAGAAAGGTAGCGAAGTAGCCAAAAGCCTCATATATCCTAAGAAGAGCGTGGCAAACATGAGGAAGTGGCAGCTGCCGAAGATCAGCTCAAGGAATGAGCTCATCAAGAAGGGATGGGAGAGAGATTCACAAGAGGGTTAAGCTAAGATAAAAACCTAATTTGAAGAATAGGTCTGGGCAGCCTTAAACAAGAAATGGGAATACTAAAGCATAACAGACCTGCCATGTATTCCACAGGAAGCGTGGGATACCTTTCTATGTCAAGGACAAAAAAAAAAAAAACAAATGTGAAGTAATTGTGACGCTAATTACTCAGAAGCAAGCCATCAGGAGACCCATTAGACTAGCACTACCTTGAAAATGGAACCAAAAATTTGAAAAATAGAGATAAGACTATCCATGAGCTGTAGGATAGCAGCTGCGCCAAAGAGAGTGAAAGTCCAATGTACAAAGTGTCAGAGGCCAGTTAGGGATGTGAAGTTGAAAATTTTTAAGGATTTAAGAACTATATAGGCATTATTGAAGAAATTTCTGTTCAGGTTCAATTTGATGATCAAATTTGGAGACGTAAAACAGTATGCTTTTTCAAAAAACAGAGTGATCAACTATAAAGGTTAAAAAATCGAAGTAAACCAATACCATAATTGATTGCAGTTACATCTTTCACCAAGTAGATCCTTGTAAAATCTATTGAATGCTGACTAAGATAAGGCCAGAAAGAAAATCAGAGCAAGGATGTATAATTGAATCACATAGCTTACAAGTACCGGCATTTGTAAGTGGGAGTAGGTTTTAAAAATAGCTATGCACTAATCATTTCTTAAGAGTAACTTACCTGAAAACCTTTGTACTTGATGAGTTCTTTAATACGGTCCACGACATATAGTTGACCGTCTTCATCAAAGTATCCAATATCTCCAGTATGTACCCATCCCTGTTTATCTATAGTGAGTCTAGTGGCCTGTGAATTGTTGAAATAACCTGAAGATCAAGTGTAAACATGTAGATTCCACCTTCACAAGTACTGAAAGCTCATACACAAGAGCTCTTAACAAAGGAGAAGCCAGTATGACCCCAATATTGGATTCAACTGCCAGAATCTATTATATGTTTACCCTTTCTAATTAACCCATCTTAATATGTTTATCAATAAAGTATGCAACATTTTTATTAGTAAAAGCAGAGACAAAAGACAGAGAGAAATTCGGTGATACAGGTAGGACAACACTGATAATTCAAAGACTGCCTTCTCTCCTATCTCTCGAGGACTATGCCAGCCAGAGAGGGAGCAAGTAAACTGGTCGAAGGAAAATAAATACAACATAAATGTCAGATGATCCTGATGATAAAATATTTTATGCTTGGAGTATGTCAAATGATAGAAATGAAGTCCAATGCTGCATATCCTTCGGGAATCCTGATGTCCTATTTGGATATAATATATTTATGGACTTCAAAAATTGGATTATTTCAAAATGCTCATGCCAGCTTCTTAGATAAAGATTAGATGTCATTTATCATTCACAAAAAGAAAAATCTGTCCACACAGCCTAGATTGGCAATCTTTGTGACAAACTCAACAAGTGGTAGCAATGACTCCAGCCACCAAATTCCAGAATAGTGTCCTTGTGCTGTCTAGTCCAAGAAGTGCAATAAATGAAGGCCAAGTTAAATTATGCATTCATATTTTACATGTAATTAAGTGGTCTTCGGCACCTTTCAGCTTTCAACTTTGTCATTCATGAACTGCCCCAACATTTCTCTATTATAAGGTTAAAAGATAGCAAATGGTGAATACATGCTTCAAAGGAAGCTTTGATTAAATAGCAAAATTTTTATCACAAGCTTTATCAACAAAGATTAACAATACATTTGGTCAAAACATCAGAGGTAACATTGTCCCTGTTGTCCAATCTAAAATTGCATATCAAATCCAAATATAGTCATAGTGAATGAACAACAAATTTGTAAAAGGGTTGTACTACATGTACATAACAATTTACATATCAGTATAAAAAAAAATGATGTGACAAGATTTAATTAAATTAAAATCTCATCAATTAAATAACTTTCTCACCTACATTTTGACACCTCATCATTATTCAAAACATTATGTAAATAGTTATGCACAAGAAGCATTTTCCTTCAATAAAAACTGACAGTTTTTCCATATGATTTGTCACTGATGAACACCCTCATAGTAATTCCGAAATCTCTCTCCTTTTTTTTTCCCCTTTTAAAGTCACATCACCATACTTGGGAATCCAGAACAACATCACAGCCATATGGTCATATCAAGAATAAAAAAAAATTCACAGGAAATATACCTTGCATCATATTGGGCCCACGCACCCATATTTCCCCCGACTGGCCTGGAGGAAGAGGCTTTAATTTATCAACACTAACAATTTGAGATTCCACACCAGGAGAAAGCATTCCTGTTGACCCGGAGTGCCTAGGCCCTACATGTTGGTTCTCAATTGAGACTATTCCACAAGTTTCAGTCATACCATAGCCCTGAAATCAAATGATCCTACCAATTAGATTCCAGCTTTACCAACCTCAAGAAACAAAAACAGAGTCAATGTATTTTTTATGCTTGGTTGGACTATGCCAGGTTTTCAGGTTTTTATATGATCAGTGAATACCAATAAGGTTAAAAGGGAAATGCTAAATAGACTTGCGATGTTATATCGGGGTCATGTGTTGTTAGAAACAACACAAAATGAGAAGCAGATATGGGACTGCTAAGATGGAATTACCATAAAATAAGGTGAGATAGAATTAAAAAAATATAAACATTTTTGTGAGTTTTCTAAAGTGGAGCAATTGAAGATATATGCATAACACCCAATAAGGCTATCTGGGTGTATCCAATGAAGGTGGCTAGATTAAAGGTTCAGAAATAGCGATTGGAGTATGTGACTAGAGTTATTAGTAAACCAAAGCAACAACCAGACCTAAAATTATTGGGAATGAGATAAATAGAGAAGTACATGATTTATTAAACATTGGAGGTGACCCTGATAAAATGAAGCTAAAAAAATGGTGATCCACTTAATCAAACCCAAATAAGTTTAAGATAAGTATTTATGGTGTTAGTTGAGACTGATATATTCCTTCAGTTTGTATATTTCTTGGATGGATGGTTAGAGAGGGGCTTAGTTCACTTTGGGCTATCTTATGTATCTGCAGGATCCGAACTCGAACCATTTCAAGTTGGAGTTCAGAAAAAAGCTTCAACTCCACCTTATCACTTTGATCCGAGTATATTTATCCAACCTAACTCTTCATTACTCGTCCTTAATCTGGTTGGATGACTTAAGTTTTGGGATTTTTAGTTTGCAAACTTAAGTCTATTCTTGGGTATCAGTATTTGGTGTCTAGTAAATCTCCATAATTGGTATATTTGGACATTGAGGAGCGACTATATCTTCCTTCTGTTTTTCTTTTGTTTTTTTTCTTCCTTCTGTATTTAATAGAGGACATGTGCAAATTTTCTAAAACCTTTATGGACCAAGGCTTCTGGTTGTTTTTTCTTCGGTTGACAATTGTATAAGTGCAATATATATTCAAGGAATGACTGTATAGTGATCCTTTACAAAATGATAAAGGCTACTTGTCGCTCTCCATGCATTCAATACAAGAGATAAGAGGTTGTTGAATAAGTTGCACAAAAGTAATGATTTAGAACTAACCTACCAGCAATTGATGATAACTTTGAGGACGCTTTCTTCCCTAAGATTTTTTACTGTCTATTCTAAAACTTGTTTTTCCTTGCCTAAAAAGTAAAAAAACCAAATGAAAAGAAGAATTATCTTAAAAATTCTACCTGCATAACGATAGCCTGAGGGAAATTCTTTGCACATTCTTGCATCAACTCACTCCCAAGAGGGGCAGCCCCGGACCCTATCTGCTTTAAAGAAGATAAATCATACTTCTTGATCACACTATTTTTTGCCAATGCCAGTATAATTGGTGGAACAACCCAGAGATGTGTCACCCTATATTTTTCAATTGCCTTCAAAATCATTTCCAAATCGAATTTAGCCATTGACACAACCGAATTCCCACGCTGCAGCTGTGCATACATGATTACTGCCAGCCCAAATACATGAAACATTGGCAGTACACACAAAAACATATTGTGCATTTCTCCTGCCCACTCTTGATCAGCAGTAACCATTAGCGATGCTGCGATGAAATTCCTGTGACTGAGTATTACGCCCTTGCTTGTGCCCGTGGTTCCGGATGAGTACAGCAATACCGCCGTATCATTTTGCTTAATAATCCCATAATCCAAATCCACTGACCCTTCATTTTTCACTAGTTCAGTAAATAATTTGATAATAGGAATCTTCCCAATGGGTTCTAATGGCCTTTTATCTGTGCCCAACAGAATAACTGGCAGATTAAAATCTTTCACTTTGGGCAATAATTCTTGGACAGTGATGATAACCTTAGGCTTGCAATCTTGGACCTGTTTGGATAGTTCCGAGAGAGTGTAAATGGGATTCACAGTGGTGGCTATGGCTCCTATCCCAATTATTCCAAAAAAACAAATTGGGAACTGGATTGAATTAGGGGAGTAAATGAGAACCACGTCTTTTTTCTTGATGCCCAATTGGAGGAGACCATAAGAAACCTTGGAAACTACGGATTTGAATTCGATGAAAGTTAAGGTTTGGCCAGTGTCAAAATCAATGAGTGCTGGTTTATCAGGAAAAGAAGAAATGTTTCTGAATAGAAATGAGACCATAGAGAGGTTGGGGTCTTTGGGGAGAATTAATGGCGGCCTTAAGGACCTGTAAATCCCATCACGGCCATACCCAGATTTCTCCATCATTCTTTCTTGGAATTTCTTTAACGTTAGCGGAGAAGAGACGCTTTTCTAAGGACGGATGTACATTTATGGGTGGCAAAACCTGTCAGTGTCAGTATGCACTGCAGGGCAGGTGGTTTGCTGGCATGAAAAGATGAGGTTTTTATGGATGTTATGTGATCAAAACAATGTTATAGTGCTTATGCGTTGCCAAGTGTAGGGGGCATATAGAAAGTAGGCTTTTAAATTTGACTGCGCCCGTTTGGCAATGACTTTTGAGTAGGCAAATTGATATTTCGAGTCTTAAATTCATTTGATTAATTCTATAAAAGTGCTTTTTTTTAGTTTATGTTTAACAATTATTAAAATGAGTTTTTGGAAAAAAAATGAATTTTGAAATAGTGATTTTTTGAAAAATATGTAGTTAAAAAATTGAAAAAAAAAATAAATTTACATGCACAATATTTTATTATGAAATTTTGTGTTTGAAAACGAGTTTTAAAAAAATTAAAATTTAATGATTGTCTAACAAGGGCTTGATTAGAAGAATTTTTAGAGAAAACTGATACATTGTAACCTCGTTTTAAAATTCTTAAAGCTCTTTTGCTAATTTGTTTACAAACACTACAAGTAGAGGCAAAGGAAAAAGTCATATCGAATATGGCATGCGCATTATTCGATGATTATTGGTTAGTTTTATTAAGCCTATGTTTAAGTTCTTTTTTTCAAAACTCATTTTCAATTATAAATTCTTTTATGAAATAATTTTACACGAACTTGAAAGTTTTTCCTATTTTATAATCACACATTCTTCAGAAAATGAAAAGTCATCGTTCTAAAACTTATTTTCGAAAAGAAAAATTGGGGTTCAAACATGGCCTCAATGGTGAGGTGGGCCTAAAAATTGAAGAAAAATCAAACCTAATAGAGTTTCTTAGAGCACTTGTGCAATAATTGGTCTGGTCAATTAAATGATTGAATTTATCTAAACAATGTATTTGTTTATTTTAAAGTTTAGTGTGAATTTTGGTCAACAATTGTGCTTAATAATTAAACTTATTGTTCAATGTTTTCATCCGATGGCATCGAATTTGCCTAAAATAACTAATATTGATAGGTGTTTACCGCAAGATTAGGTCATTGTCAGGTAAGTGTTTTTTTTATCAAATTATTTTATGAGATTGACAAGGACTATTCATTTATAAAACTTATTATTTATAATTTAAATCGATTATTAAAATATTTTTGTTGTACTTTTTTTAAAAAAAATTAGTCCAATTTGAATTGTAAGTTAGCATTGGAGAGTTCATTTTAGTTATTTAGTGGTAGTGGGAGAAGTCCCCTTAGTTTTAGGAGAAATAATATATTTTATTTGTATTTAAATCCTAAGAAGTCAATAAAAAAAAAAAGGAATAAATCAAATTATTTTCTCTTGACAATATCGAATTTTGTAAATACTTGATTAGTTAAAAAGTCAAATCTTGAGTTTGCTAGAAAAACCTCGAATTTGTTCTAACAGATTATCTTGCTACGTTTTTTTTGTCAATTGTCCTTGTTCATATTATCGTGTCATGTTCTGCTTACTGTCAAATGTGTTTGATCTTACTAATAAATATGGAAATGATGAATTTTGGACAAACTAATTGTCTCTCATTTGAATTATGATTATGCGTTTGTTTACTATTTGCTCAAGTGATAGTAGTGAATTTTTGACAAACTACCTTTTTCTTATTTTTTATTTTTGGATCATGTTATCTGTACATAAAAATTGTACATAAGGGATTATATAAAACGATGTGGAGGGAAAAGAATGAATGAAAAAGTTGACTGTGTTTTAAACACTTTGTGCAGTGTTTGGCTATTTGCCCCAAGTGATAATGATTGGAAGTACCTCAAATATCATATTAATAATAGCAGATCATTTTAGCCATTGAAATTTGAATCACATTGTTGCAAAGCATATTCTGTTGTGCAAAAATGAAATAAAAAGAAATTCTACATTCAAATTATCTACATCCTTAAAAGATATTCGATTTTGATGGGTGAATAACGAGTCTTTATCGAACAATTATCGATTTTGTGAATACCTGACAAATTAATAAATCAAATCTCGAGTATGCTGGACAAATATTGAGCTTTTCATGTAATCTCGAGTTTGTTCAACCGTCTAACTTCAAAACTACTTTATGTACAGACTTTTGTTCTCTAATATTTATTATAGTTTTTCGATACGAGACAAATAAAATCTCTTAATAAAAATACTATATTTAACTATAAATGCATTGAAAAAGTTCTACATCGAATTTTTTTTATGTAAATGCATTAAAAACAAGCGTATAAAAGGACTTATCATTAAACTAGGTGCAAGCAACGTGCAATGCACATTTGCGTAGTTTATATTTAATAGTTTTGTTTAATAATTAATTTGTTATTAATAAAGATGTAATTTTTTTCGTTAATTAAATAATTAATGATGTAATGTTTATGTAATTGATAAATAATTAGATGTGTGATTTTCATGTTGTGATATAAGTTGGTGAGATCGAAAAAAATAAGCAAAAGTTGAAAAATTTGGAGAAAATGGCTAAATTGTAAGGGATACAAAGTTCGGTGACTAAAATGTAAATACTTAAAAGTTGTGCCGAACCTCACGATGAAGATTTGAGAGTGCTC